TAGAACTGGGAATCACTTGTATAGAGATGATAATTGAACCCATGAAAAATTATATGATCACTAAGGGAAATAGTATATAGAAAGAAGAGAAGAGACCTGAAGACAGCTTGGAAGGGGGTCACCTACAGTTAGTAGGCATGAAATGAATGAAGAAGCAGCAAAGGAGACTAAGGAGTGGTTAAACAGGTAAGAGAAGCAAAGGAAAAAAAAACTTCATGTTTTTATGAACAGTAAAGTTAGTAAGAGATTTTTAAATATGTAAAAAAAATTTATGTCATTCTTTTCTAAAAAGAACTCACCAGCAAAATAGTGTTGAACACGAATTTGGTCTTTTCCATATATCTCTATGGCTTCAGTAAGTAAAATTTCAAAAATTTGTGTTTGATAATGAAAAAAATGCTATCTCTTTGTAGAATTTATTTCATGTAAAGACTATTTTCTGGATGTTATAAAAGCATGTACAAAAATGAAGGCATTTTACAAATTTCATCCTTAGAATTGTTAAAGCTGTAGAGAGGTGGGAAACGTAAAAGTAATTTTTGAAGTTATCATGAGACATTTGCATGGTGGGAAAGTCAAAACAAAAGGAAATAGTAGCTTCCATGTGGTATAGAGGGTTGTAAAAAGCTAACCAACACAATTTCAAATTGTTAAATACAATCTAGTAGCAGTGAACATTAGACACTGTTCTTCAGGCACAGGGGAAAGCTGATAGCACTGTTAAAATGACAACTTGAGTGATTCTAAATTATAAATAAAAATAAAATTATATCCAAATGACCATGATGATTCCTTAAACACCATGAACTGTATCAATTTTCAGCAGTAAATTTATAGCATATAATTTTGGCTACTTTATTTTGGTTAAAAAAAATCTCTCAGTAGTCAGGCAATATCCTAAAGAACTCAGGTTAAATGTTGCTACTAAGTCATATTCAACATTTTGCAGAGACTGCTAACTTTGTTTCTCAAAAAATACAAACCAAGACTCAGATTCTTATAATTTATCCAATAGCTTACTAATGTTCAGACTCCTTAAGAGTCTGCCCAATATGACTGATGTTCTAACAAGTCTTATCTTTGGCTGAAAGAAGGCTTGGGTCAAATTCTTTATACCAGGATCTGCCTGTTCTTATTTTGGGGTCCCAGCACCCCTAACCTCCAGGCCTCATCGTATAGTTCCCTGCACCAGGAAAAACTACCTCATACCAAGTTCTTCACCAGTTGAGACTGGAAGATTACAGGCCATTCACCTACAGTTGGTAGCAAAAGCAGGTATCAGCCAGCTTCCCCCCCGCCCCCCATCATTCCTTGGATGCAGTCTGTGCTTGGTTCCAGTCTACCTCTTCCTTGGGACCCCCTGGAGGTAGGGACAGCTCTATGCCCCTTGCCAGCAGGAAGCAGTTTCAGAAGCCAAGACCTTCACACCTTACCCCAAAAGGATTTGGGTCCAATTTGTTTGAGGGGGGAATGATGAGGATGGGATCTAGACCCCAAAAAGGAAAAACCCTGGACTTTTCCATGTGGCAATTTCCTAATGTTATAATCCCATCAACTGGCCTTTCTTTGTGGCTATACCCAATCTCCCAATTTTTTTACCCCTAAGCTAGCCTAGACCTCCATTGTCTTACCTCCCTAGGGCCCAGGCCATTTCCCACCCTTAATCCTATCTAGGCTCCACTCTCCCTTGGCCAGGTGGTCCAGGGTCCTGGAGTTCTATTACCTCATAGACTACTTGGCCACTCCTATATCCCTCCCATAGTCTTTCTGTATATAAGATTCATCTTGTCTCCATTAAGACGCTCAGATTCCTAAAATCTAGCCAATGCTCAGATTCTTATTCTTGTAATCTAGCCAATAGCTTACTGATGTTCAGACTTCTTAAGAGTCTGCCCAATATGACTGATGTTCTAATAAACCTTATCTTTGGCTGAAAAAAAAACAAATCAACTACAAATATACCATGTCATTGAACAAAACAGATGAAAGGTATTGAAGCCCCACCTGAAAAAGTAAAGGAAAACAAAACAAAGTGCTTAATATATCATATCAGAACTCTGGAGGGATATTAGGAATCATCTATTCCAGGCATTTCATTTTACAGAGACCTCAGAAAGAAACCAAGGCTTAGAAGGTAGTATTAATTTGTTCAAGGTCAGGGAGGATAGATTATTCAATTTTTGCTGAAATTGAGGCTGAGCTGAGGTGCGTTTTGGTGAGGTTTTCTAGACCACCAGTCCAGCTCTCTTTTAGTCCATGTTGAAATATGTTTATAGGTGTGTGCAGTGGAGTGTGTGTGGGGGGAGGGGAGAGGGGTATTGAGTGACTGGTCCCTTCCACAGAATTAGTCTTTGTTCTCTTTAAAGGACCTAAGGATAAGCATCTAAACATCAGAGGGGAATGGAGGACCATTTGCTACTACATGGATCGCCCTGGTCCTCTAGCTCATCACACTTGTCCCAGAAAAGTTTATGAAGCTCAGGAGGTAAACTTCATTGAGCTAGAAAAATGGGGAAGGGATATTAAGGGAAGCAAAAACATTCTCAGGAAGACATGGCCTTCCCCATACTCTACAATCCTTTTCATGGGGAAGATCAGCAATAAACCTTAATGAGAGGACAGAGAGGACTACTGGACCTAGGGAAGCAATTTAAACTCCCTGTGCCCCGACAGCATTCACAGGGCTCCTGGATCCTTCATATGTGCTCCCTCACTTCTTCCAAAGTGGCACACAAGACTTTTAACTTGGCCTCTGTTTCCAACTTCTGGACTTGAGGCTTCAGGGAATTTTGAAAAACAGAAGAGGGGAAAAAAATTCTGGAGAAAGACACGGTCCTGAGCGTCTTAGAAGGAACTCAGGAACTCACTGCCCTCCAGCAAATGCAGAGGTACTAATTCCTTTCCTCTTATTTGCTCCCCCCAATAGAGGGCCACAATTGTCCCTGGATGAACCTTGGGAGAGGGGGCTGTCTGTTCTTCCCAAATGGTGAGATAAGAGAAATATACCCAAGGGTCACTGATATATGCACTGAATATATAAGCTTCCTTCTCTCTCCTTTCTGACTAAGACAGAGCTTGGGCCCCAGCAGCGTAGATCTCTGTAGAAAGAACTCCAGGAAATAATTTGGCTGTTTTTCTATCTGGAGCCTGTGCTTTCATCCCCTCTCTCAAACTGGTCACCAGTTCTACCAATAGTATTCTCATCTCAATTCTAGGGTCTAAATTCCACCTCTCTAAACATATACTTGCCTTCTTCCTTAAAGGAATACTAATACATAGAACCCCTTGTCAGAATACCTTTAGACCTCCACCTAAAGGCAAATTTCCCTATCTATAAGTCAGTCAAGTATTAATTAACTGTTTATTAGGTGTTGGGTGCTAATCTAAACACTGGGGATACAAAGAAACTTAAAACACATACACATACATGAGTTCCTGCTCTCAAGGAGCTCACATCCTAATGGTGGAGAAAATATGTAAATATCTATGTACGTATAGTATCATATACATATACATATATGTATATATATATATACACATATATAGCATATAGCATATATATACATCTATGTATATACACACATATGTGTGTGTATATATATATATATATATATATATATATATACACATATATGAAGAGACAAAGAGAGAGAGAGAAGGAAATAATTTACAAGATGCAGTTATAGCAGCTGGGGGAAAGCAGGAAAAGGCTTCTTACAGCAGGTGGGATTTGAGATGAATCTTAAAGGAAGGCAGGAAAGTAAGAGGAAGAGGTGATGGTAGAGAACAATCTAGTCATGGGGTATAGCCAGTAAATAGGCACAAAGATGAAAGAAGTATTGTATTCAAGTAATTGCAAATAGGCCAAAGTATTATTGTATTATAGAATCTCTAGAGAGAAATAAGGTGTAAGAAGGCAGGAAAAGTAGGAATGGGTCAAGGTATGAAAAGCTTTAAATGCCCGACAGACTTTTTTTTTTACAATTGATCCTGGAGGTAATAGGAAACAATGCAGTTTTTTGAAGCAAGAACGTGACATGGTCAGACCTATACTTTAGAAAAATTACCTTGGCAAATGAATAGGTTGGAGTGGGGAGAGATATGGGACAGGAAGAAGAGTTAAAAGGCTATTGCAGTGGACCAAATGAGGTGATGAAGGCCTGAGTTAGGGTTGTGCCTATATGAATAAAAAGAAGGGGACTTCCAAGGTTGATATTTGAAGATAAAAATGAAAAGATCTTATAATGGATTGGATATGTGGGCTAAGCAGCGGTGAGGAGTTGAGTAAAACACCAGGGTTGTGGCACTAGGTGACTAAGAATATGATGATACCTTTCATAATGACAGCTTTGAGGTCTGCCCTTTATCAGATACTTCATGCTATTTCTCATCAAGATATGATTAGATGCCAACTGAAAAGATTATACTACATAACACAGGGGGTTCGAAACAACAAATACAAGCTTAACCTCATATCTCAATAATATAATAGTGCTTTATGAACCACATCATTAAAATCCATTTGGAAGTTTATTTATTTTTAGACTGTAACAGCTGTACACATAATAAATTGCTTAAAGTTCAGTTTTCTATCATCTTGAGATTTGGACTATGCTTTGTTGCTCTTCTGCAATGACAGCATTATTATCCTCCTACCAATAGCTTAGCACTACTTGGCAAGAACATGAGTATACATCCCAAATGTGACTGAATCACATCTCTCCAGCACTGTTTACTTAATTCTAAATGTGAGGACAGAGGACCTACAGAGTACTCAGACCAAATGGGAGCAACATCTAGACAAAGACTGATAATAAACAGGCATCTAAAACATCTATAAAAAGTCAATATTTTCAGCTTCTTCCTAAAAATAAAAGATCCAGAACACATTCTCATTAAGATAAGGTTACCTATTCAGTACTGTATCTTAATCCATCTGAGCCATTGTTTTGGCAGCAACTCGATTTCCTCAAGCTGGAAAAATGCTAGTAATTGCTTACCTGACTCACAGGCAAATGTCTTTGACGTTTCATCATGAAAGATAATTGCCACTGCATGCTTCTTGGTCTCTCGAGGCAGTCTGGTTATGTTTTTGATGTTGTGCAGTTCAGTTACCTTGAAAGAAAGAAACATATATTTTAAGCCAAGGAGACAACACAAATTTTTAATGAATAATACCCAACCAAAATATTCCATTTTCACTTTTTAATCACTTCTAAAGGGTGCTTGTATTTAGTTTTTGTTGTCATTTCATTAATTTTAACCCTTAGATTTCCCTCAATATTATCTTCCCTTTGGCCATAAGATTTACCATTTTTCAAGACTTGAATAAACTTGAACAGTCATATAATTGACCCTTCTGGCTCCTTGCAGCTTTACCTAAGGAATACCAGACAGCTTTCTGATTAAAAGAAAAGAGAAAAAAAATGAAACAAACATATCTAGAGATATTACAAACTTCTCAGTTAACACATCTTTGCTTACGACCTTTAACTGCAGTAAGTTCTTGCTACCAGCAAATTTAAACCTATTGATATTTGATACTAAATTTCTTTTGGTCCTATGCAACATACACATAGAAAATATCTGGTTTTCATCTTTCTCCTCATGGGATCCCTGTCATCACTAGGGTACTACAATTTTCTCCTAAGGAAGTAGCTTGGAGATTCTGCACTCAACCTCCTTGCCGTTCAGGGGTTAGCACTACGTCTATCACAGTGAGAGAGCACCTTCTCTCAGAGCAAATTGTGTTCCTGGGCACCTGTATTCCCACCCCTATATCTCCTAGCTCCCTAGCTGTTGGGCATGTATATATGCTGCAAATGTCCATGGCCAGTGGACACAGTGCCCCCTGTCACTTGCCACTGGTGCCACAGTGGGTCCTGAGATGAAGGGAATGTCCTGGATCCCCTTTCAACCTCTCTGCTGCTTTACTTAAAGTTTAATTTTGAATCTTTCATTTGAGAGGAGACAAGTGAAAATAAATCTATAAATATACACTACATGAGGAGGATTCTTATTAACTACCTATTAAGTTTTATTCTTTCCTTTAGATATATACTTAGCAAATATACTCATTGATTAATAGTTTTTTTTTCACCTTCTGAAGCAGTGTATTTAGTGGTCAAGTGGAAAAAACAAAGAGGGTGTTAACCAGCTCATTGATGCAAGAATATGATTTTCTTTGTTTTTGTACATATAGGAAATGGTCATAGGTTGATTTTACTTACAATATCTTAAGGATATGTTCCTGTAACAATACATATTTACTTTAAAAAATTCAGACATTTTATGTGTCTGGCATAATTCAGAAATTATCAAAAGCTGCCTAGGAAGTCCCACGAATTTTAATTAAATGCAGTACACATTCTTTAAATTTCTACTAAGTGCAAAGCAGTGTGTTTGACACTAAAGGTAGATATTAAATTTAGATGAGACATAGTTTCTGCCCTCTTGAAGTTTATATTCTAGTATTAATAGAAAAATTATTGTACTTAATTGGAAAATTCTCCTTTTTTTAAAATTTTTTTTTGAGGCATTTGGGGTTAAGTGACTTGCCCAGGGTCACACAGCTAGTAAGTGTCAAGTGTTTGGTCTGAGACCGGATTTGAACTCAGGGTACTCCTGACTTCAGGGCCGGTGGACTATCCACTGCACCACCTAGCTGCCCCGGAAAATTCTTATAAACAATGTAAATTGATTAGTCAAAGAACTTAAAACCACTGAATAACTGCCAATCATATATAGCTTTACCAATATGTGTTGCTAATATATCTACAACAAAAGCTAAAGAGTTAATAGTAAAAATACTACCATCCTTATAAGCATTTATTGAACAACTTTTTGAGCAACATTATATCAGAGAATCAATAGTTACAGGTTTTTTTTTTACTTTTTTAAATTTTTTCAGCTAGGCAATGTGGTTAAGTGACTTGCCCAGGGTCACACAGCTAGTAAGTGTTATGTGTCTGAGGCCGGATTTGAACTCAGGTCCTCCTGAATCCAGGGCCGGTGCTCTATCCATTGTGCCACCTAGCTGCCCCAATAGTTACAATTTTAAGAGACTTAGAGTTGATCTAGACCAACCCTTCAATAGACAAAAATTCCTATTACAACATAAATGATCATCCCCCAGCCTCTGCTTTAAGAACTTAGACTGTTAAAGCTTTGGATACCTGTAATTCTTAGGAAGTTTTTCCTTGTTTGAAGCTGAAATCTACTTTTCAACAAATCCCATCTATTATTCCCAGTTTTTCCTTCTGGGAAAAAAAGCAGTAAGTGCTCAATTTCTCATCCACATGATAGGCCTTCTTATACTTGAAGATAACAATCTTTTCTCCCCTCAATCTTCTATTCTCTAGGCTAAAGACCCCTAGTTCTTACATCTGATTGTTGTGTGGTATAGTTTGTTGTTGCTTTACTATATTGGTTGGCCTCTTCTAGATGTATTTCATTTTGCCAGTGTTCTTCCAAAAATGCAGTGCAGGGGGCAACTAGGTGGCTCGGTGGATAAAGCACCAGCCCTAGATTCAGCAAGACTTGAGTTCAAATCTGGCCTCAGACACATAACACTTACTAGCTGTGTGACCCTTGGCAAGTCACTTAACCCCATTGCCTAGCCAAAAAAAAAAAAGGACAAAAATGCAGTGCACCAAAATGGGTTTGTGGCTTAATCATGCAAAGCAGAACAAACCTATATCTGCTTTCCTTCTGATTAGTATGTTTATGCTAATATAACACAAGACTATACCACTTTTTCTTGGCATCCAAATCACACCATTGATGAATATTCAGCTTGTAGTTCACTAAAATCACCAGATTTTTTCATATAACCTAGTGTCTTACCATATCTCCTTTCTTCCTTTACTTGTAGTTGATTTCTAAAAAAACTCAACTGGAGGATCTATACTTAGTCCTTATTAAATTTCATTTAAGAAGATTTAGCTTATTATGCTAGCCAGTTGAGACATTTTGGGATAGAGATTCTGCCATTCCAACATGATAACTATCCTTCCTACTTTTATGACATTGAGATATTTGATAATCAATACATTTATGCCTTTTTCCAATTATTGATTATGCAATCTGTGGTTCAAAGCCCATTTCCATATGACTCTTCTCAGTGGTAGAGAGTGATTGATTACTGAATGTTCTTGGGGGAATGTGGTTAATGAAAGCCTGAGAGAGGAGAATGAAGACATGTGGTTTTAGATTCTCTTTAGGTTACTGAAGGAAAGAAAGACTCTTGGAAGAAGCCAATATGTAGAAGAGCTGGAACCTCAGTCATGCCCCTATCCCCATCTTACTTCACTAGAGACTTTGGGGAATTTTCCCTGCAGTGAAATTTGGGTGAGATCTTTCTATGTCTCTGTGTATCTGTCTGCCTATCTGTCTGTGTCTCTGTGTGTGTTGAGCTAAGATATTTTGTTCCTAATGAGAGACAGAGCTAAATTACTCTGTGCATTCCCTAATACATTCTCATCTCTGTACCTTCTCTGATTTCTGTCTGCTATCTGATGCAATAAATTATTTCATTTCATTGGAGTCAACCCTTGAATATACATCTTGGGGGCACTTCCCCATTAAGGGACCGTGATCAAAGGCTCAGCTCGAATCCCAAAATTATTTCTCCTAGAAATATTATTTTTGGACAGTAGATATATAATCCTATTCTATGAGGAGAACAGAGTGGCCAGCCTCTGGCTGCAACCTCCTGCCTTCCCTCCAGTCAGGAATCAAAGCCTCCCTTCAAAGGGTAGATAAAGGAAACTCTAGAGATATCTATTAAGACCTCCCTGAAAATCATCTCTAGAAAGACTCTTGAATATATTTATAATCTACTTGGGCAACACACAACACTCACCAACCTCTATAATTAAAAATGTTGACTATAATAGGGCAGAGAGAACTCTGAATCACTCCACTCAACATATCCATATAGGCTGACATCAATTCATAATCACTATTCCTTACATCTAATTATTCAAACAATTTTGAATCAACTAAATGTAGAAACTAAATGTAGAAACATCCAGCATACACCTCTCTAGGTTGTTTACAAAGATGTTGAGAAGTTAATCAATCTTCCACCTTTATTAAGCATTTTTTTTTATGCTACCATATGCCAAGATTCTACAATTTAAGTAAAATAATAATGTCACAGTCAGAGATATAGAGGAATATACAATTAGTAAGTTATATTTTGATAAGGATATTGACAAATTCACTTAATGGAACAGAAAGTAAACAGATGCATATCAAAGGGAATTAAAATTATCCAATTAGGGAAGGGTCTTAGGAGGTAGTAGATAAGATGTAGGGATAAAAGAGGGAGAAACTTTAGAAAACTTGGATAAGGAGACACTTTTTTTGTGTGAGGTTAAGTGACTTACCCAGAGTCACACAGCTATTAAGTGTTATGTGTCTGAGGCTGAATTTGAAGTGAGGTCCTCCTGACTCCAGGGCTGATGCTCTATCCACTGCTCCACTTAGCTGCCCCAAGGAGACACTTTCATTAAGAATGTGGTATGTGGGAGAAGTAGTAGCTCAATGAATGGAATAAGATAAAGAAATAGTGAGGAAACTTTAGTAGAAAAAGGCTAAGGGCAGTGTTTGTTGTTGCATCATCTGACCAATGGTGCCAGTGCAAGTTACCCAGACAATGTTGCCAAGCTGGGGCATAAGGGGCTAGAAATCTAGGGAAAAGCAGTAGTATGAACAAGACAAAAGAAAAAAGACATTCTGCATATCCCAAAGGAGTGTACAGAAAGTATAAAGATCAATTTCAGGAACTGAATCAAATCATGTTGCTAATGAAATTAAAACTCAAAGGAGTCTTCTATCTTATGAGGCAGGAATGTCTTGACAATAGCTATTCACATAGCAAACAGCTGCCTAGTGTTCTCATGTATTTCTAACTATACCAGTTCAAGGCTATCTTTAATTTAGCTCTGCTATGTTTGGTCTGCACCTTTACTACCAAAGGGCATTTGATGGTTTCTGAGCAAGCTTCCTCAGCATCACTAACAGAAGTACTTTCTCCATCTTTACAGGTCTGGGCAGATGCCTGATCACATTGATTCTTATTGGAAACAGACAGAGAAGGAGGGCAAATG